GATTGCCTTCAGAACAGAGAATAGCAACTGAAAAGGGAAGCATTTACAAAATCAGAGGATATCTTCGAAATCTGTCCAAGGCTGGCCACTTAGCTAAAGCCGGAAATTCGGGGACAATGAGCAACAATACTCATCACCAGTCCTAGACTCAAAAATAAAATGATAAAATGACTGCACCAGACTGATGGGAGAGAGCAGGTGTTAAAGCACAGTAGAAAGCCAGCCAGAGCAAAGGAAATTATTAGAGAGATAAAACAGTGGACCTTGAGAGACAGGCCAAAGTAGAAATATTCATTATATAATGAACCAAGAAGGAAATGGCTTTAAGCCTTTGAAAATTGCCTGTATTTTCCAATTTATAAAAGAATCCTGTTTCCAAACATTTGTTTAAGCCTAAAATTTGTATTCCTAAAGATGCAATATTTTTTAAATGGAAATTAATGACCATCCAAATCCCCATTTACCAAATTAATCTGTTATATGCCTACAGTATACTACTAATAAATCTATTCTGATATCACCTAATCAAATTCAAGTATGTTTTCCTGTAGGAAAATGTACTCTAAATTCCATCTAAGGAAGCTAGAAACACGTATTTCTGCTTTGGTTTTTGTTTTGTTTTCTGTTTCAGACACGGGGACACAGGCAGTTCTATGGGGGCTCTAACAAGGAAACTCCAACACGGGTGTGGAAGAAGAGAAAGCAGTGGACTCCTCGGGGCATCTGGACCTGGGCCACTCTAATGGCACAAGATAAGCCACTGTTCCAGGCCATCTCCACTGAGGAGTTCAGACACCAAGGGCCAAAGAGATCTATCTAGAGTTCCATGCCTGCATCTTCACAATTTAAACTTGGGTCCTTCCAGGCACTGTACTGCACATCTGTAACTACACCAACTTGAAAGGCTGAGGCAGGAGGATCTCAAGTTTGAGGCCAACCTGGGCTACTTAACAAAATTGTGTCTTAAAAAATAAAAAGGACTGGGAAGGAAGCTCAGTAGTAGTGCACTTGCCTAGTGTGTGCAAGGCCCTGAGTTCAATCCCTAGTACCACAAAAGATTACAGTAGTATCCATGCAGACCCTGCACCCAAATGAAGATGCTGGGATCAGAAAAGATGAGCAAACTGCCTGTAGTCCATGGTCAGCAACCCCAGCCGACCTGTCCAGAACAGAGGTGACCTTACTTACACCTCTGCCCTGAGAATGAATGAAAGAGCACCGATTTCACCTACTGCAAGAGGAACCTGGATTCATACAAAGAAAGCTACAATCATTGGTAAGGATTAGCACAAGGAACTGAGTGATGCTACTTGTTATACTAAGTGATTTTAGTATTCTGGTAAGTACACTGGTTATACCAATTAAGTATTTTATCCTTCAATAATTATGTATCTCACTCTTTCTTAATGAGGGTTTTTCCTTTCAAATACTGTAGTTTCACAGTAAGACTTACTATGACTACTGCAGCAAGACAAATTTTCCAAAAGTAATGTAATTTATTTTAACTCAGAATGAAGTTCAAAGCATTAAAAATGTCCACTGCACCCCCAAGTTGGATACTAAGAGAGCTCATATTCATTGTGAAAATGTAAAATGCATGGGCTGGCTTGTGCCCCTGTGCTGGCCGGTCTACACCCACCACACCTTCAAACACACATGCCCCCTACTGGTTGAAAGAAAAAGTGATTTGTTCATCAAAAGAGAGTCAGTTTGCAAGTATCAATCAGTTCCACTTTGAAAACCTTTTTGTCAAACTTACTGTTGATTAAAACAACAAATGATAAAATTTTGTCTAATAAACCAATTAAGGTTTGAAAAAAAATCATCTGTGGGAAATCCCTGGGTAAAATTGACACCTATAAACACCATTTTTAAGAATAAAATTGGTGTCAGTTGCTAGGCATGGTGGCAATGCCTATAATCCTAGCACTCTGGGAAGCTGAGGCAGGAGGGTTACCCCAGTGTGGGTGACTTAGTAACCTAACAAGATCCTATGTCAAAATTTAAAAAATAAAAAAGGGCCATGTATGTAGGTCAATGCAAAGGTCCTGGATTCAATCTTCAGTACAAAAGAAAAAAAAAGAAAAAAATTGGGTGGCAGCTGCCGGGTTTCTGGGGATCACCCCCTTCCCCTTAAGGACTCTAAACCTACTCAGATCCACTTGCTCACAGACACGCTCTTTGTTCCTGCAGTCCTGTATCCTGGCATCCTTTTGTAAGACCCATGTGTTTTTAAACTCTCCTGTTTGTTCAGCATGGGAACTAGAAGATAAACCATTCGAGATCCCTGCTGATTAAAGTAAGCCCACGCCACAAGCTAGACACTCTTTTCTGCACAGGACAAGCCCCTCCAATGAGCCTGGCACACAGAAAAAACATGCACACACTGAGCTCACTTAACACATTTGATTAATGCACACAAAGTCTACTTTATAACTTATTTATTATTTATTCCCATTTAAAGTCCATTTGCAAAAATGTTCCTGTCAGGAAAAATTACTATCATAACTCCGATTGTCATTTTATATCAAGGACATCTCAGGATGGAGATTTCTCCAGGAAGTCTCAATTTCAAGGAATGCCTACTCCTTGGGGCTGCTTCCTCCTGCCACCAGCTCCCTGGGACACAGACCACTCAAAGGGTCTGCGAGCTGTCCAGGAAACACCTCCTTGGTCATCATCCCATCAGTTCAACTGGCTCTCTAAGCACTAAACCAAAAATAAGCTTATTAGGAGATAAAGACAAAATTCCTGGCATTTCCTGCTCCTGGTATTACTCAGTGAAGGTTAATTTGATGTGTCAATTTGGACAGGCCATGGTCCAGATATTTGGTCAAACATTATTCTAGATGTGTCTGTGAAAGTGTTTTTAGATGAGATTAACATTTCAATTGGTGGACTCTGAGAAAAGCAGATTACCCTCCATGGTATAGATGGACCTGATCCATGGAAAAGAGACTGACCTCCTGGAAACAAAAGAAATTCTGCCTGCAGAGGGCTTCTGGATCTTAATTACCACTCTCCACCTCTCTCAGCCTCCATCCCACCAATCAGTCCCGTGAGACTCTGGAGTCACCAAACATCCACAGCTACATGAGCCAAAATCAGTGAATCCATCTCTTTCTCAGTCTAACTACACACATACACACAACACCCTATTAGTTGTTTCTCCAGAAACCCTAATATTCTACCCTAAAGAATATAAGATTTTGCCTTGAAACTTATTTAAAAGATATAAAGCTTATTTGAAGATCATCAGTAATAACTAAATTAACAATAAGTCTAAGAAAAGCTGGTCAAATTCCAGATATGGGACTTACTAGTCCTTTACCAGCGGTTTCACTTGATTTTCCAAGTCTGGTAAGAGACACCGCTTTAGCCCAATAGTCTGTCTCCATACTGAACCAAAAACAGTGCCTGACATAAAAGTCAAGGTGAAAACTCCAATAATTATTAGCATCATTGCAAATGTACAAAACCAAGTCAGCCCATACATGGGTAGAAAAATATGTATAGGTCAGTTGCCCCCAGAAAATTTGTAAAAAATGAAAGTATAATTACTGTCATTTTGAAATTACTATTAGGTCATTTGCATTAGTCCTCTATTTCTCGATAGAAATAAGACTACTAATAAGAAGTACTATATAGCCTTAAGAATGTTTGACCTGAACAGAACAAACTGCACTGCATAAAAGAATTAATTTCCTGAATGCTAATGATTGGGCCTTATTAAAGACTCCCATATGTGTTGTAAGCACCCTAACAACCTTGTTGGAATTTTTTTTTTCTTTTTTTAGTACCAGGAATCAAATTCAAGTCCTTGCTTGCTAGGCAGGCACTGCACCTCTGAGCAAATTCAAGTCCTTGCTTGCTAGGCAGGCGCTGCACCACTGAGCTATATCCCCAGCCCATGGAATTTTTTTTTATTGTTGCCTATGAAAGGAAAAGAGAATAGAGGAGAGACGTCATTATTGGTAGGGGGAGAAAAGAGCATGCAGATTTAACAGGGACCCTAAAAAATTTCAAAACATCAGTTATAGCTGTCACTTTGTAAAGCCATTACTTTATGAGTTCATCACCTACAGCAGTGGTTTTTAAAGTCTGGTCCCCCATTCAATAACTGCAACACCACCTGGAGACAGGTAAGAAACGAACACTGCTAGGGTCCAGCTAAGACCTGCTGAGTGGATCTCTGGGGATGGAGAGCAGCCATCTGTCTGAACAAGCAGGTGCTCCACTAACTGTGATCCATGAGAACGCTGAGAACCAGTGATCTCCAGTGAAGTCGGATATTTTTAAGTATGAGACAGAAGTGACTCAAGAAGCTGGGTAGCAGAATTTCTGCTACATCATTATGGACTTTGTGGAAGAAATTTATACTAATACTCTCCCTCCTTTTTTATAACATCTTCATTCAAAAATACTTTGCCACTGGGCTGGGGATGTAGCTCACGGTTGGGGTGCTTGCCTAACATGCAAAAGGCCCTGGGTTCTATCATCAGCACCACAAGAAAAAAATAGCTTTCCCAATACTCTGACCTTATTTAAGAATTTTCTAATAACCTAAAACTGCCACTCCACTCACGAGGCCAACCTGTACTCATCAAGACAGAAAAACAGGGCTGGGGATTTACCTCAGTGGTTCCAATGCCTACCTTGAAAGCACAAGGACCGGAGTTCAATCCCCAGTACCAAAAAAAAAAAAAAAAGAATAACAGCAAAGCTTTTTAGGAAGGATGACGGTACATCTCAAGGAAAAACTTACAGACTGACGCACCACATTATGAGTTGCCAAGCTCTGTGCTGAACTTTCAGTTCTTCCATGAAATGAGATGCAAATGCAAAGGTCAAAATATATACAATATATCTATGAAATTTTTGCTTCCCTATAGGGCAATTTCCCAGTGGAGACAAAAGCCCACCAAAGAGGCAATTCCTCTGCCAATTTGATTCAAACTATTAATGACTTTACCAATCCTCTGGAGAGAGAAGATAAATACCTTTAAACTGTTTAATCATGTTCTGATGGTTCTCCATGGCTTCCTTTAAGATCATCTCAGGCTGGTCCATCTTCCAACGCCACTCTGTGCCCACAGGATTGGTGTGGTGCCTAGGGACAAGACAAAAGCTCTAAGGGCCCCTGTAAGAACATCTCAGCTGGTTACCCATAAAACTATAAAATCAAGGGGGCTTCCTTCCAAGAACCCAACTGTTTACAGCAGTAGTTTCCAACTTATTTTGAGTCCTGATATCTAGCAGACACTGGTTCAACACCTCTGCCCAACTCCTGGCTGCTAGGTTGACTTCAGTTGACAGGACACTGTTTCCTGCTTGTAAACACACCAACTATGCACAGGCACAAATGCAGGGCAACTTGTCACCATCACATTCGCACCATGTGGGTCAACACTTCATAAAGTGAGTATGGAAAGCTGGAATGCTTATGTTTGGAAATTACACTGACAGCCTATGAAAGATCACCCCTTGATATAGTCCTGGGCATGCCCGAGAAACTCCACCTGGAACCTTCTCTCTTACTCCTTTATGGAGCGAAAGTTGGGGGCGATCAACTTCAATAAGCTCCTGACAGTGGACATTTAGTTTCATTCTGTTCAATGGGAGAAAACTGCAGCCCCAGCCCAGCCGGGAATTTTCTGCAATCCACAGAACTGGAAAAGTCACATTCTAAATCCATATGCTTAGAAAAGGATGTTTACTTCTGTAACTGTTCTTTTTATACATTTTTGCAGATGATCAAACTCATAAGAACACATTCTGAAGGTCCCGAGTTTGATCCCTGGTATTAAAATATATATATATATATAAATATTCTGCCACTGTAACTCATCATCAGGCAAATCTTGACTGATTAGTCAGTCACCAGATTGCCTTGACGTGACACTGCAGGCTTACTCGAACATTCCCTGAGGTGTGTTCTAAAAGATGCTACACAAAACAGAGAGATGTGCAAGTTCTGAGAAAAGCTATACTTTGTGTTATCCTTTTGGAGAATTATAAAATTCTCAGATTATTTTTTATCCCTTATGTTTGTAAAAAAAAAAAAAAGCGGAGAGGCCAATACCAATAACCCAACCAGAATGTTTGTCATTTAAGCCACCCACTCAGTCTACGGAATTTTGTTAAAAGAGTCACAGCTGACTAAATCATGCATCAATTAAGACAAGAGATTGTCAGAGTAGCCTGTAACACAAAACCCATCTACATAAGGTTTTACAGTTCAGATCTGGAATGTCCCCAAAGGCTTAGTTCTCCCCCCACCATGCAGCAATGGTCAGAGGGCGCGCTTTAGAGAAGTACTAGGTCATGAGGGCCATGACCCCATCAAAAGATAAACCCACTGATGGGTCCATAATGTGTCTGGCCATTGGGAGGAGAAGGAAATTTAGAAGAGACCTAGTTGAAAGGAATGGGTCCTTAGGAGCATGCCCTTGGGGACTATATCTTGGCCTGGGACACCACCCTCCTGATATCCTATCTGCCATGAGGTGAGTCACTCTGCTCCATCACATGCTTCCCAGAAGCCATGGAGCTAAGTGACCATGGACTGAACCCTCTGAGACCATGAGCCAAAATAAACCTGGCTTCCTTTAAGTTGTTTTTCACAGGTATTTATCACAGCAAGAGAAAGCTAACACATGAGGCCAACATTATTCCAATACAAAAGAGAGACAGACAGACAGACATTCTAAGGAAAGAAAACTAGAGAACATCACCTTCCATGAACAGAAACAGAAATCCATAGATCAATCAATCCAGCCAATTGAACCAAGAAACACATAAAAAGGAAAATGTGCCATAATTAAGTAGTGTTTATCCCAGAAATACAAGGCTGGTTCAGTATTCAAAAATCAATCACTTTATTTCACCATATTAACAAAATTAAAGGAATAAGAATATGCATTTCAAGACAGAGGAGTATCTAACAAAATTTAATACCCATTCATGACCAAACACTCAGCAAAGTAGAACATAAGGGAATTTCTGCCAGCCATGGTGGTTCACACCTGTAATCCCGGCATTCCAGAGGCTGAGGCAAGAGAATCACCATTGAGTTTGAGGCCAGCCTGTGCTACATAGTGAGTTTAAGGCCAGCCCGAACTACAGAGCAAGGCCCTATATCAAAAAATATTTTAAAATAAAGGAATTTCTTTAACCTCATGAAAGAGATCAACTGAAAACCTACAGCTAATATCAAACTCAACAGTGAGAGAACACACCCTTTCTGCCTTTGTCAGATGCATAGGAAGGGTCCTCTCACCACTCCTATTCAGCACGTGAGTCCTCAACCGCAACTAGGCAAGGAAAAAAGGAAGAAACAAAGCCACCTCTCTTCATAGCTGACATGACTGTCTACAGAGAAAATTCAAAAGAATCTACAAAAAATACAGAACTAATAAAAGACTCATACACAAGTTGAACAAATACACAAAGATATGCTCAATGCATGAAAATCAATTGTGTTCATATACCAGCAATGAAAATTGTTACTGGAAACTAAAAGAATGATTTATAATACCAATGAAAAGTATATAAGTACATATGAATCTAAAACAAAAATATACATATGGTGGCCCACACCTGTAAACCCAGCACTGAGGCAGGAGGATCACCATGAGTTGAAGGCCAGCCTCAGGTACATAATGAGTTCAAGGCCAGCCTGAAAAACATAGATAGACCCTGTTCCAAAAATAAATAAATTAATTAAATAAATACATAAATAAAAATACAAATATATGTATGCTGAGAACTGTAAGCAACTAACACAAGACCTAGATAAAAGGAGAGAGACACTATACTCACTGATTGAGGGACTCGATATTGTTAAAATCTACAGGTTATATAATGTGGGGAAAAAATTTTTACCAACTGTTCCTCAGACAAAGGTCTACTATCTAGAATATATAAAGAACTCAAAAAAATCAAACCCCCCAAATATAAAGACCCAATTCAAAAGTGGGCATCTGAAATGAACAGACATTTCTCAGACAAATAAGTAAAAGCAGCAAATAAATACATGAAAAAATGTTCAATACCACTGGTCATTCAAGAGATGCAGATGAAAACACTGAGATTCCACCTCACCCCAGAAAGAATGGCTGCTATCAAGAAATTAACCAGTAACAAATGCTGGCAGGGTTGTGGGAGGAAGGAACCCTACTCCATTGTTGGTAGGAGAGCAGACTGGTGCAACCACTGTGGAAATCAGTATGGAGATACCTCAAAGAACTAGGATTAGAGGTCCCACTTGATCCAGCTATCCCTCTGCTGGGTATCTTCCCAAAAGAATCATACCACAGTGATTTATGTGCACTCATGTTTATAGCGGCACAGTTTGTAATAGCTAAAACTTGGAAACAGCCCAATTGCCCATCAACTGGAGACTGGATAAAGAAAATGTGGTTTTTCTATAAAATGGAGTACTACTCAGCCATAAAGAATGAGAAACTAGAGACATTTATAGCTAAGTGGCTGCACACTGAGGCCACACTCTTAAGTGAAATAAACAGGACACACATGTGTAAATACTGAATAGTTTCTCTGGCGTAAAAAACTAAAAGTGTAAATAAGATTCAAAATGTATAATGGATAATGTGAAATAGGAAGAAAAGCTCTAAAGGAATAGGGGAAGTGGGAAGGGTAGGGGCAAGGAAAGAAGGGAAAAGAAAAAATATAAGAAAAGGGAAAAATGGAAACAAAGTCTTTGTAAATAGGGAAGGGTGGGCAGGGGAATAGGGAAATAATAAGAACCAAGATACTCATGTAAAGGTACAAGATCCCAGTGATGAATGTAACTGTATTGTATACCTAAAATGTACCAATAAACTTAATGAAAAAAAAAATCTACGATCAGTGGAACCCTAATACAGATATTCTTTGTTTAACGACTGTTCAGACTTATAACAGGGGCATGCCATTCAAACTTACAACCTGCCACCCAGGCTTACGAAGTATCTTTTTGAGATCGAGGATTTAGCTCAGTGGTGCCACCACCCGCACAACTTCTAAACCTACAGTGATCTGGATGGTGTGGTTCTGCCCAAAGAAGAGACGCACACAGATCATAAGTAAAGAAGGACCCGGAAACAGGCCCATTTGTATCCTGTCGATCAGTTTCTGACAAAGTACAAAGGCAGTGCAATGGAAAAAAGACAGTTTTTTCAGTAAACTGTGGTGAAACAACTGGACAAAAACCAAAAATAAACTATCTGTATCTTGTACATCAACAATGATGAAGGAATACAACAAATTGATAGGATGCACCTTCTGATACACTATACTGAAAAGGAGTGTAGATCTCACATACACACACACACAAACTATGATCTCAATTTAATCACACAAAACACTCAACAGAAATTGAGAAACCATCTACAAAACACCTGACCAGTATTCTTGAAATGTGTCAAGGCCATGAAAAGACAGGAAAGATCAGGGAGAGTCACAGAGTAGAAAAGACTAAGGACTCAAACCAACTAAAGCAGTGTGGGCTCCTGGACTGGGTCCCAGAAGAGAAGAGAAACAGTTATAAAAAACTCCCAAAATCTGAATAGTGTCCCCAGACTGTCTGTGTTGTACCAATGTTAGTTTCTTGATTCTGACCGCTGTTCTATCGTAATATAAGGTGGAACATAAGGGGAGATGGGTGGAGGGCATACAAGCAATCCCTACTTTTATAATTTCTCATATTAAAACATATTTTCTTTCATTTGTTTGTTTTTTGAGACAGGGTCTCACAATGTAGTTCAAGCTGGCCTTGAACTCACTGTGTACCCCAAAATGGCCTCAAATTCACAGCAATTCTCCTGCCTCAGCCTCCCAAGTCCTGGGATTACAGGCGTAAACCACCTGTCCAGTTAAAATTTTCTTCCTTTAAAATAAAAACATTAAGGCAGGGGATTTAGCTCAGTGGTTTTGCCATCTGCTGCGCAAGTGTAAGGACCTGAGTTCGATCCCTGGTACAAAATAAATAAATAAATAAATAAATAAATAAATGGCGGAATAAATAAATAAATAAATAAAAACATTAAGGGTCTGGGGATTTAGCTCAGTGGTGCCACCGCCTGCCTCCCAAGCACAAGGTCCTGAGTT